CGCTTGCGAAATAATCCAAAGGTGCTTTAGATCGTGGATGGAAATCCGAACAAATTCTGCCAAAATTATCCAACGGGTCGTTATTCCATGGCTTTTTCGATCAAATGGGCCATTCGCGAAAAAAGCTTCGAACCAATATTACTGTTTAGCTATATCATAAACTTAGTCTAAATGATCAATATATATGCGAAATATTGTTTAGATGGGGGTCCTTTAGGGGCGTCTCGAAGAGACATAGCATTATTCTCATTCTGTGCGTCAAAATCATGTATAATCAATAGGCTTTAGAAAAACTATAATAATAAACTTAAATGATAATAGAGTGTGCTCTTTGATCCTCTGATTTATATCCATGATCAGAAACATTTTTTATTAATATATAAAATCCGGAAAGCTATCTGCCCACTATTTTTTGGTAATTTTTTCTTGCACGCGTCGCCTTTTGCTTTCAGGTTCATCACATGCGGTCACTCTATCCTTCAATAACCCTACAATTATACCGATTACCTGTTTTATATTATCTCTCAAATTTTCCTGATTTCCCTTAAGCGCTTTTTTTGTAAGATCCATTTGGTACTCGGTTTTACTTGTACAAAAAATACCTTCGGAAGTGAACATGATAAAATGCCAATCCGCACCCGTTGACACAATCCCATATAGATAATCGTAATCCTCGCTCTTGAATGCCTCATCAGCCGTCCGCTTCATATGGAACGAACTTTCAAGTTGTTTAATGTTCTGTAGATATCCTATCCTGACGTTTCGTGGTTTTCCCTCAGTAATACACAAAAGATCTTCCATTCCTGTTATTGCGTAATCCACCCGACCGGAGGCTTCTTCACCCGAAATATCCCTCTGCAATTATATATTGATTTCTTTATTTGTTAACCTTCGTGTGATTGCGATTGATGCATGCAAGATTGATGAAATAAATTCGCAACGTGTTGCCTCATTAGCTTCTATCATTGATTTTACATTCGTTAACCGCAGTATTATTTCGTTCATGCATTGTTCGAGGGTTTTGTCGTCATCATCGATTTCCTCAAAAACTATAAAGCAGAAAAAATGAATTATCTAGAAATTTCGGCCGAGACCCCTGTCAAAAAATGCCAAGAAAAAATAAAATAAAGTACCACATACCTGGATTAAACTGCTTGATGTTCGTTATATCCTCACCATTAACTTTATATTTGCGGAGTACGTCCTTCAGTTCTTCCAACGTTTTATATGACGAGAAACTTCTCAATTTTTGCTCTAGACCCTCGATAAATTTTGCAAGTCTTGTTGCAGGACCCAAAGTAAAACCAATACCACGAAAGTCCTCCTTAGTTAGCTCAAGAAAGTCGAGACCGGAAATTTCCTCCATCCGAAATATCTTGAAATGGGATTCCTTGAGATCTAAAATTTTCTGCCTTCGTAAATAATCAATAAGTTCCTCCGTACCATAATCTTTTATCACGTCTGCCATCGTACGAGTCGACTTTTCTTCCATTAATGTAGAGGATTCAGATACAGGTGAGGAATCGCGCGAGGACATTGTTTATATTAGTGAACGGCGTAAAAATTCTGGTTTATGTTGATTTATGTATCTGTCTAAGTGAAGCTAGATAATGCAAGGGAAGAGAATGAAAATTTTTTTCGTTTATTTTTACGCAACTCATATAGAATGGCAAGTACACGACGATCTCGGAGATTGCGGAGATTTCGACTTCCTAAGACGTAAGTCCTTTGATATACGCACTAATAGAGATTGTCGGTCCGCTCCTCCTTACTGCCTTTTCGAGTCTCGTTTCGCTGATTCCTATCGTGAGGCATATTTAATATAGAAATATTTTTTAGCCTAAATACGTATAACGTAAAAAAGATTTACATGTTTCACAAACTTCTACGCTGATCCCGATTCGTCGATTTAACCATATCTTATATGAACCTTCTATAGCCATTATGTAGCTACCTTCGGCGAGAAAACAGGAATTAGATTAAAAAGAGCCATAAGGGGAATGGGTTTATCATTTCTCATTAGTATTTTTACCAGAAATTGTATGTTATAGGAATTCTGAATTCCCAGATCGCCAGATCGTTGAAATTAAGGGGTATTTTACCGGAGGGGGTCACAAGTAAAACCTGACTCACATTAAATGGTTAACCGAAAAAATGACGAAAATATATTTGGTTTTGGAATAGATTTAATGGTCCTGGATGGTATAAAATACTTCATTTTTTCCTATTGTAAGGTGGGTACCAATAACGTTTTATAACGCTAATTCGAAGTAATGTATTGCTATTTAATTAATATCATAAAACACATTTATAATTACCATTATTCTGTATTTAGGAACGTAAAAATGAGCAGTAATAAGAAAACCGCCGTCAAGACCAAATATTCTTCTGCTTCCAAGACCAATGATAATAACGTCTTTGAGAGCATTTATTCTAGTAACCTATCGTTTTCCACACCAAGAACCAGATAACAAAGCAAGCTGAGACAATCTTTATCTTGTAAGTTTTGTGTTATAAATACTCTATGAAGAATTCTATTTATTTTCACCATGTTGAAATATAATTACTGAAGACATAACAGGATTATGTCTTTAATAATAATTAGATAAGCAGACTTGGGAAAAAATATCAAAAGAAAATGTTAGCATTTATTTTTTAAAAGAAAAGAACATAGAAAGTAGTGACTAAAGTAATTTAATAAGGAGAAATTATATCAGGAAATTTTTGGGCAAAGATTTTCAAAGATCTTTGAATATAGATCTCTATTGTTGTTAAAAGACCCCAGAGCAAAAATTAATATATTAAACTTTAGAGATCTTTGATTTAATTTAATAATAATAAACTATATTTATATTTACATATTCAAATTTAAATTTATTGGCTTACAAAATTATTTTTATTATTTATTTTTGTTTACATTTATTTATTTGTTCAAATCTTTACACATTGCCAAAGTCCTTCTTTCTAATTCTCTATTTTCCAGTAACTGTCCTGGATTATTCTTAGTATTTTCATATTTCTCCAGATTATCTTCTATAGTAATAATTTGTAGATCAGTTATTTCTTCATCTTTGCTACTTGAATCTTTTTTCTTCAAATCCAAATTCTTTTTTAATCTCTTCTAAAAATATTATTAGCAATAATTTATAATATTTCGAAGATTTTTAAAAACTCATTTTATTTTTTTCTACTTTGCTTTAATTAATGTTTCATTTATCGAAATACTTTTATTATTCAGATTAAGAACTGTTTGACATACTGCAATGGTGAATGCCACTTGTTTCTCAAAGGCATCTCCCTTTGGTCAAACTTTTTCAAGAATACAGACCATCATGCTTTGTGTCTCTTCTCTTGGACATTTGTGAAGATTTTCAAAGCATTCGGCAATCTTTCGAGATTGTTTCCAGGCCAAAATGTCAGTGGCAATTGCATTTGTATTTATTGTATTCAAAAACCTTTCACCAAAAACTAAAAACATGACATCACAAATTTTTGAAGCAATAAAGTATTTAATAATTGAAGAACTAAAGTTATTAATATTTATAAGAATTACTGCTTAATGAATATGGTTTTCATAATATGTTTTCCAGTGTTTTCTTGTGAGACCTTTGTAAAACTCTGAATGTTTTTGCTAAAAAAATTTCTTGGTTGTTCAGCAAAAATTTTCATAATCCAAGTATATTTTTTCAAAAAATACTTGTTTTGTGATACTCTTAATTGTGCATTATTTAAATAAAATATAAGTTTTAAAAAATCTTTGAAAAAATTCAAAATGAACCTTGCCTCAATAAAATTATATTTGATAATTAAATGTTAACTCATATGAATTTCATTTTCCAGTTAGGTAATTTTATCCTTTATAATTTTTTTACTGTTCTAACAATTGATCGATTTTTTATGAAGGCCTTCATGGGACTTCATAATTCTTTAATGGCTTTATTAGAGACTAAATATTTGAAGTTTCTTTAGATGTTCTCTATACTGATATATCAAAAGAAGATTTGAAAAAATGTCCAGGGGATCTCAATCACTTCTGAGATGTTTCTGTTTCTATTTTAATAGGAGTTAAGAGTCTTTATTCAGTAGCTGGCTCTTGGATTCCCTGAGTACTCTTTATCTTTTTAGAGAACTTTAAAGTACTTCCTTGACTTTTTCTTTTCCCTTTTTGACAGAACCAGAAATAAGTTTTTAAAACATTTTACATGTTTCTTGTTTTTTGTTTGACATTAAAAAAAAAGTAAGAACTTTAAAGACCTTATATGATATAGATTCCAAGAAATTATATCATATTATGACTGTAAACTTTTCTTTATAACCTTTCAAAAATTACTTCATAAATATAAATAATTAAGTCATTATATAAAAATGAAATTATTTTATTATTTTATTGATATAATTATTGCAACTTATAAATTAAATTTTTGATTAGTCAAAATTAATCAATATTTTATTGGTTAATTTTACATATTTTTTAGATTAATTCAATGGTTTTTAAAATAAATTACAAATATTAATTTTGTCAATGCATCTTTTCAAAACATGTTAACAAATATATTTTAACTGTAGACTCTAGTAACGAGTCTAATGAAGATTTAAATGAGTCAAAATTTTCTATTATTTCAAATAATATTGAAGATTTGCAAAGCATTTTAGAAGTATTTTTATAATTTTTTTATTATAATTTTATTTTATTAATTAATAGTTATTTACTTTTAAACTTTTGCAGAGGATTTAAATTCTCTTGAAAATAATTATCCCTTTAATAAAGATTTTTGTAATATTAATTTATTAGAAGATTCTTCAGATAGTTATAATTTTTCAAATTCTTTTGAATATTCCTTTAATAAATTTCTCAATAATGTATATGTAGATTTAATGACACTTGTTTTAAAAAATAAATCAAGCACTTCAACAGAAAATAAAATAATTTCTTTTTTTAATAAACATTCTAATTTATTAATTAATCCATTATCAAAAAATATTCAACAAGAATATAAATTTATGAATAATATAAAATATCTAAATTTAGATTATTTTAAAACTTGTGTATTATTACATAATAATATAGAATACTTCTTATTTCATTGGTCTATAATTAGTTGTATTAAAAATATTTTGAAGATTCCTAATATCTTTCAAGATTTTGTAG